GCCAGCAAGTGACATGGTGGTTAAGGCATCAGACTCCCACATAAGTGACCATGGTTTAAGTCCCAGATCTGGCAGCTTGAAAATCTCACCAGGTGTGTGTGTGTGCATGCCCAAAATTCCAGAGGAGAAAGGAGGAGAAGGGATTGCAGTGTGCCCATCCTCAGGATAATTTCTTACTTTTCCTCTCTCTGTCTCTCTCTGGTGAATGTCTACACCCTATGGCAAAAACCTAAAAACAAAACAAAACAAAACACAAACAAAAACAAAGACAAAGAAAAACAGGCAACTCATTCACTGTCTGGGAACACAAATTATAAAACCTTTTATATTTTTACCAAATGCAAAATATTTGAATATTTATTGATACAAAAATTCTACTCTATGAAATTTATCCAAAGAAAAAAGTTAGAGACATGCACAAAAATCAACCTACAAAGGGACCAGCAGTTAGTGTAATGGCTATGTTGCTGGACTCCCACGTAGTTGACTGCGGTTCGCGTCCTGGACCCGGTGGCTTAAAACTCACGCTGGGCGCGTGTGTGTGCGTGCCCAAGATCCCGAGAGGAGAATGGAGGAGGAAGGGTTGCGGTGTGGCCATCCATCTGGGGGGGGGGGTGATTTATCGCTTTGTGTCTCTATGTCTCTCTCTGTCTGTCTGGTGAGCGCACGCGCCCTATAGCAAAAATCTCTCTCAAAAAAAAAAAATCAACCTACAAAGTTGTCCATTACATTGATCATGACAGCATAAAATTGGAAAATTAAAGGTTCAACTGTGAGGTTAATAAAGTAAACTATGGTACACAAATAGAACAGAACATCAGTGTCCTTTAACATGTTGCAGAAACATCTCTACATGCAAGACTTTCATGACAAACTACTGGGTCAAAAATCTACAAATCTATGCACAGTGGATCTCATTTGGTTGTAAAAGATACATAAGCAGCGGGGAGGGGCCCTGTAAACAGATCTGCACCAAATATCATCCTTGGAATTGGGAATGATCTTTGTTTTGTTACTTTACTAATTTCTAATTTTCTTACAGACTTGTACACTTGTGTAAGAAAAAATGCATGGGCCAACTCTGTAGCTTGTTCCTTACGGGACCCAGATCATCCATGGCTATCTAGTTCAAATCTCAGCCTTGGCAGCTTGAAAAACACACCCAGGCCTGTGTGCTCAAAATCCTAGCAGGGTGGAGAAGGGATTGCAGCATGACCATGCTCCACTGAGGGGTGCTTTCCCCTTTCCTCTCTCTCTTATTCTCTCTGGTGAGAGTACATGCCCTCTGGCAAATTAAATTTTAAAAAGGGGAGATACTCTAAAGTTATCTAAAAACGAAGACTAAAGGTCAGAGTAGGATTCCTTTTCTTTTTCCCACTTTAGTTAAATAAAAAGAAAGTTATATATATTGATATCTGCACAATTTCAGAATAATGGCCATTAAGAGTGATGGGGGAGGCCCGAGCACAGTTACTGTAAGGATACAGACAGGGGTAATTAGGAAGCAGCTACTAAACAGCAATCGGGAATAGGAATCATGATTTTACCTGTTCTCACTGGCATTGGGTGATAGCCATAGATCCAGAATGGTTTGAAGGTCCATTCTGCAGAAATTCATGCATCTTTACTCCAGCATTCTGCCATTGCATACAGCCATGCCAAGTGTCTACTGCCTGGCCCCTTCAAATCGCTGTTTCTCACACATTCTGTTAACTCTGCCTTAGTTTCTGTTCACTATAGTCTCCTCATCATTCAGTGCCTTGCTATGAGACACCAAAAAGTGTGGACAATCTGTATAAAGGTTTAGGATCCTGCCACCTTAGGGATGTTTGGTCTTTGGCATGCTAGAATGGCTCCTCCAAATTAATGGGAAAATGTTTCACTTCACATCCTCCATTACCAAGAAAGAGGCACAGACCGTTGCAGGCCTCTCTGAATTCTGGAGGCAACATATATCCTGCTTGGGAACATTGTCCTGATTCAGAAAGCTATCAGTTTCTAACAGAGCATCCCAAGTATTCTGCTGTAGGTCCAGGCTACAACACCACTATCTGGGTCATTTAACACAATGGAGCCACTACTCTGGGAATCCACAGTAGATGGGATGCTGCTTGGACTCTCTTGCATGACTTAGCAATAGGATCGTTGAGGGCAGACTCCTTCTAGAGCCACACTATGCCCTCTACACGAGAGAACAATTCACCATTTCAAAAGCAGCTGGGTACCCACCACGAGATCCATGAACTGTCCAACCAAGACTGCCTATGATATCTGACTAATGTTGGAAGTACTGAGTCATGTGGTCAGGTGGACATAGCCGAAATAGGGCACAAGCAAATACAGTGAAGCTTATTAAAGGCTTAGTTAGGGTAGTCAGCTTGGGGACAATTCCCTGCAAGCTCAAGGCACGAGGTTGACCACATGCAATATGCAATGAGCCAATGTTCATGGATACCATGCTATGTCCCAATAGCTAAAATTCATGTCTTAGAACTTAGAGGAGGAAGTAGGGTTGACCCCTCTCACCATCACAGTGACTCACTGTGGAATATGTTTCCCCTTCCTACAAATTTAGTCCTGATTTCGATAGATGGGAACATCTTCACCAAGGAAATACAATAATCTGAAGCCATGATATGTCCTGGTCAATTAGGGCTTACCATACTTGGGAAACACAACAAAAAACAAAGTTCCCATCTTGGCAGCAGAAAGTGAACCTGATTACAAGGAGTTAGGGTTGCCACTTACTACACAGTGGGGGCAAGGGATATATCTGGAGCCCAAGGGAGTCACTGGAGCTTCTTGCTGCTCCCAAGCCCAGCGTAACTAGCAATTGCTACAAGGGCCTGTTGATGTGAGGGTAACTAAGATGCTGGTCTTTGGAAATGAAGGGCTTGGTGACTCCATCAGGTAAGCAATCTAAACCTGCTGAAGTGGCAACTAATGAAGGAAAATCTAGAAAGCATGGTTGGGGGAAAATAAGAATACCACTTATGGTCTTTGGACCAGTTGCACAAGTGTGGACTAAAGCTCGTACCACTAAGCATCCTAATGTGTGCACAGGGTAAAGCCGAGAGCAGAGTGGATGTGAGAGTGGATTCTACCTCTGGTGCCTCACATCTTCTTGGTCCACCTTTTTACTCCAATTATTGCTGCCACTATCAGATGCCTGCAGATGCGACCTGCTACTTCACCTCAACCACACGCACAATACTTGCTTTCTGCCCAGGGCTTCCATCCTCCTCCATATGTAACGCCTTTAAGAACCCAGTCAATCATTCTGATGCACGCCCACACTTGGAAGTACAAGGGAATTACATGGGATAACTCTTGACCAATTTGTTTTTTCCTAGTCTGGTGGGAAAATTCTGTATGCATCCCACAGGGCTCCTGAGAAGGCAGTTGGTGGGAACTCGTTACTCTCAAAGGCAACAGAGGTCAATGGCATACACGTGAAGGGCTGTCCCTCCGACTGACTCTTCGGTTTCCTTCTCCTGTTCTTTATCTCTTCCTAAAGTAACTACCAGCGTAAAAGCCTCTCTCTAGGATCTTTTGGGGGGTCCGCAAGCTAGTCAAAGGATCGAATGAGAGAAGAGTTGTGAAAGTACTTTGAAAGTTAAAGCTGATGTACTCAGTAAACCAGCCCTACCAGCATGGGACCAGCATGGGAGCATGTTGCCCATTTACAGCTCGAGGGATTTTTTTGGTTTTTTTTTGTTTGTTTATTTTTGAGACTTTTGTTATAGGGCGTATGCACCTGCCAAAGACAGAGAGAAATCACCCCCCTGGGGGGTTGGGGGGATGGCCACATTGCAATCCTTTCTCCTCTTCTCCTCTCAGGATCATGGGCACCCACGTACATGTGCCCAGCATTAGTCCCAAGTCGCCAAGTCCAGGACTAGAGCTGCAGTGGACTATGTGGAAATTGAGCAATGTAACCATTACACCAGGGTTGGTTAAGCCACTCCCCAGCACTTGGTTTTAATCTGCCTTTGTGGATCAAATTGCCACCTTACCATTTCAAGACTGAACTACAAGGTAAGGGGTAGCTTTATTGTCTTCTGTAACTTATCTCCCTTTCATTTCAGAACCTTGGCCATTACTCTCTTTATAATGCAGATGAGGAAACTAAAACTCAGTATTTCACCTGCTAACTCCTGCTAGCATTCTAATCCATCTGACCTCCAAGGCCCACACTGAACCATTGCACTTTTATTCCTCGGCATGACCTCCACGCCTGTCTTCTCACCCTTCGGTGGTCCCTAATCCAGCCAGGCCCAACATGCCTTGCACTTTCACGCTCCTGTTATGTCATGTCAGCCCCATGAACTTTGGAGCCTAGATAAAATGCCATCTCCCTAAATCCTCAGGCAGAATTTCTTCTTCATCAGCCTGCCTACAGCATTTCCTGAATCCTTACTACATCTTTTACAGTTGTTAATGCTCCACTGTCTTTTCCACTGGGGCTGGAGCCAGACAAGGGCTCAGGTATTAAGTAGTAACCTAATGCGTAATAAGCAATCAAACGGTAATTGTGAATAGAGTTGGCAGGGTGTGCTCCTCAAGCACAGGCACTAAATCTGGCTTACTGCCCGTGTTATAGTCTCAGCACATAGCACAATGCCGCGCTCACAGTTAACACTCATTTCTTGAACAGTTGAATGACTGAACATGAATCTGTTTTTTCGTTAAACCGTGAGCTCTTAGGAATCTGACAATGTCCAGCAAACATTCCCCATGATTTTGACAGCAGTGATTCCAATGTGGGATACTTTTGCTTCATTGCTATTAGGGAATAAATTAGTTGCTGTTTTTTTTTTAAAACTAATTATTTCATTTTCATTTATTATTTTTTAATTTAATCAGACAGAAACAGAAAGTGAGAAAGCAAGTTGCCAGGTCCAGAGCTCAAACCATGGTCATGTCAACCACCACACCACCTGCTGGCCCTGAGAATAAATTTTAATACTGAATCAAGGTACTATTAAAGAGAAACAATGTAATGATTAATAGAAGATTTATTTAAGTAAGAATACATATAGTCTTCTTTGCCAAAGTTAGTATGTGATGTTAAATGTTCGATCCAATTTTCCTTCCTGGATAAGTTTTTCTTTTGTATCCTGTAAAGAAAGAAAAAAGTACACTAAAACCAATGCATCTGGCACAATCCACGGTACAACTCTGAAAAATGAAACAAAACACACCAAACTTAATTGCAATTCCATCATCTAAAGCCCAGGGGGGTATATGTAAGAAGTAGTAATGTGAAAAACTAAAGAGACAGTAAGAAAATGTTCCTACTCGAAGAATAAGTATCTTATCCACATCTTAGTCAAGAGAAATATACTACCCCACTAAAAAGTATAACATTGAAAGCAAAATGCAAACATTTGGAAAAGTGTGGCCTACTTTTCTGTTAAGTGAATAATTTTTTTTTTTGAGAGGTTTTTTTTTTTTTTTGCTATACGGTGCGTGCGCTCACCAGACAGACAGAGACAGAAAGCGAGAAATCACCCCCCGGGGGGATGGCCAAGCCACGATCCCTTCTCCTCCATTCTCCTCTTGGGATCTTTGGCACGCATGCACACGTGCCCGGCGTGAGTTTTAAGCCACCAGGTCCGGGACACAAACCGCGGTCGACCACATGGGAGTCCAGCGACATAGCCATTATGCTAACTGCTGGTCCCGTTAAGTGAATAATTTACTGCATAATCAGAACACACGAGCTCTAACAGGAGGCTAGGTCAGCCAGTTTAAGACAGAGACGTAGTTCCAGTCTGGATGGTAATACAAGGCTTGGGGCTGCAGTGAGAGAACTTGTGTCAGACGTGGAGTGGTCCAGTGCCAAAGGTAAGCTTGGCTTTCCCTA